TTTCCGGGCCTTTTTAATGTCAGTGTGATAATTCAGTAAATTATCACTTGATTTTTACCTGAAATTCATAAGGATTTCAAATTCTAGGAGGATTAAACTGGAGAAATATCAGATAAAGTGATAAAAAATTTCTCTAAAGAAAAAGCATTAGTGTGACATAAAATAGTGACCCCTCCTGTTAAGTGCATATCATAACTCATTCTTGATGAATCTTACTGATCACTCTTTTCCTATTCCTAGGGCATTGCCATTAATACTGTGCTTCCAGTAATCCACCTATGGCCTTGCTAGGCTATCATTCAAGAATGCTTTAAATTTCTTCACATTACCCTGGTATTTTGCCTCAATTATCTCTAGTCTATCTTTATTTGCTTTATGCTATATTGAAGTGACTTTTCTCTTTCATATTTTCCCCTTACCACCTTTCAAAAGGTTTAAAAAAAGTGATCAGACTTTTAGAGAATTGCTAAAACAAAAATATCTCATCACTGACTTTTACTCTCTTCTTTGTTTTTGTTTAAAATCTTAGAGTCCATTCCATAGTCTGTGAGTTGAACATATCCTTTCTTGGATGCCAGAGAAAGCAGATTATGGTATGAACAGAAAATACTTGTGTCCTCTCTGCTTCCCTCTTCTGGTTGCATCAAGGGATGCATCTCAAGCCAGTTCTAATTTTCGTTTCACAGGTAGCACGATCTTAACTGGGAGCAAAGCTTCCTAATGAGCTGAAAAACTGCTGTTGAACTGCTCTTAGAAGTTGTTGAGAAATTGCTGCTTGTTCCCTGTTACTCTTCAAAGGAGTGTTCTACTAGAGCCAGCTTGATTAGTCATCCCCAATGCTTCCCCATGGACATTTAGAAATATAAAGTATGGAAACACATGTGGGGCCCAGAAGAACCCTCAATACTTCTACAGGTGTAGTAAGACACCTTACTTATTATCTATTATGTAAGACACATGATTATCAAAGCTTTCATGTATTTTACACTGGTTGTTAATAATCCAAAAGGGCTTTGTTTCTTGCAAAGCAAAACCAAATCCTTTTTCAATAAACTGTGCATAAAGTAGCAGAACACTTCCCTCCCACATTTCATGCAGTCATAATTTAACCACAGCTGGCAACTAAGCCCCACACAGCTGCTTACTCACTCCTGCCTGGTGGGATGGAGGAGAGAATCAGAAGAGCAAAAGTGAGAAAACTCGTGGGTTGAGATAATGACAGTTTAATAGGTAAAGCAAAAGCCACACACACAAGCAAAGCAAAACAAGGAATTCATTCACCACTTCCCATCACTGGCAGATGTTCTCCAGGACAGTAGGGCTCCATTATGCATAACAGTTATTTGGGAAGACAAACACCATCACACTGAACAGACCCCCCCATTCTTTCTTCTACCACCAGCTTTATCTGCTGAGCATATCCCATATCATATGCTGACGCCATATAGTATGAGATATCCCTGGGGTCAGGTGTCCCAGCTGTGTCCCTTCCCTACTTCTTCATACCCCCAGCCTGCTCATTGGTGGATAGGGTGAGAAGCAGAAAAAGCTTTGACTCTGTGTAAACACTGCTCAGCAATGACTAAAACATCCCTCTGTTATCAACACTGTTTCCAGCACAATTCCAAAACATAGCCACATATTAGCTGCTATGAAGAAAATTTACTCTATCCCAGCCAAAACCAGCACACATGCTCTTTCCACACTGGACATATGTAGGACATAAGGGTTACCTCTCCTTGACAGAAAATGTGACAGAGGTATCAAAATCTCTGTCTCCAATGAGCCTTATGCAGCTCATTGAAGGCAACATAAGGCAATCCTGAAAATTAATATTTATTTGTCTCTATTTGTCTGCCCAAATGCTAGAGTCTAAGTCACTGCACTTGCTTTTTCCATGGTAAGATAAGTCAGTGAATGTCTTCTGCCTGGTACCCAGGGAGCTCTATCTCCAGTAGCCTGGGCTTAGCAAAGCCCTGGTGAGGTGTCGTGCTGGAGGGCTGTGTTCTGTGCTCATGCTTGTTCCTGAGTTGACAGCTGGTGAGAGCAGCAGTTCTGGAGCTGTGTGAAGTAGAGCCATATGAAGTAAAACTTAAAATTCAGATTTCATTCCTGTCATTTTGCCATCAAACCTAGAAATACCAGGAAATGTAGGACCAGTTAAGTTTCTCCGTCTTATTCCTAGTGCTCAAATTTCCAAAGAGTATGGTGCAAGTGCTAAAGGTGACATCCCTTCCTGGATGCAGCACCAGCCCTAGAGGAAATGGTATGCTGCTATGCTCTGTCAATCACTCTTGCTAAACGCAGTGATTATCACGTGCCTGTGCCTAGACTACTTCCAGCCCAGAGCAAGTCCAGGAGCACAGCATCATACTCTGGTGCATGAATTTTCTACCCAGACTCCCCATTAGTTCAGGAGATATCTTCAGCTTATTGCCTTTTGCAGTGCAGTCATACCTGGAACAGCAGATGGGAAACCCGGATTAGTTTCTTTGTGTCCTAGGAACGGGCAATGACTGTGACAGGTCAGTGTGATACCCCATTAAGACAAACGTGATGTGTGTGGTTACAAACAATAAATAAAGGGTATCAGGATGTTGCTCACTTCATTTTGGCACCAGTTCTCCTGTGCCACTTGAGGAATCAAGGAACCCTTCTCACTGAATTTACTGAATATTTATCACTGTATAATAAACCCAGGAAACAAACACTCCTGCTACTGAAAAACTTCAAGGAATTGTTTAGACTCAATCAAAAATTAATGTAATTTCCTTTTCACATCTCCCCTTCTTTTTTGGTTTGTGGGTTGTTGTTTTGTTTTTTTTTTTTTTCTTACAGAAAGGATGTACTCAAATTAGGGAACTCTAGGCATCTGTTCCAGGAACTGAGAACTGTAAGATTTCCATGCCCCATTGAAGTTTTGCATATGCAGAGGAGATTTAAATACTATTCTGGGACTCTGCTGCATGTAAACAACCCCCAGTATCACTGCGTCATAAAATCCTTTAGCATGAGCAAAAAAAAAAAGCAACATTCATCTTTTGCATGAATCACTCTCTTAGCTCTCAATGACACTGATGGCTCGTTTCATCCCAGCCAGATCAGATTATCCCTATTTCTCCTGTGGGACTAATTAAACTTTTGAATTCTCATGTAACCTCACCAGAAATGAGAAGTGAAGAAGTGACCTATGCAGACCTGAAATTCGTGACACTGGAAAAATCTCAGGACCAGGAGCTCCAGACTGCCACAGCAAAAGGTAATGGTGGTACTGAAGGGGGAGTTCTCTCCAAGGCAAATTCTCACCTTGGAGAACATTTCTGATGTGGTGCTCAAAGGAGGATGTCACCTACCAAGAAGAATCTGGCTCCTGGGAGCCCTTTGGATTCCAATCTTTTAAGAAATTGGAGGGAGAAAAGAAAGAAAGCAGGAGATTAAAAGGAATAGAAGGGTGGAGAATGTGAAAAACTGTTCCAATTTGAGAGGAGAGATATAAATAAGGTTGTGGGATACAGTTAAGTAAAAATAGACATATTCCATTTGGACATTAAGTGTCAGCTCCTGGAATTTAATGAAGTATCTGCCAAAGGGAATTTGCAAGTCTTTCAGCTTTACTCATTTAAATCTGACAAACTGAAAGTAAATGCCAGGGAAAAAGATGTTTTCCTTTTCTCAAGGAAATGAATAGATGGACAAATACCTTTTTGTACTTTAAAATCATAAAAATTATGCTACATAACTTCACAGAGGAAGGGAGGAATGTGACTGATTGCAAATCTGTATTCTTTATGCTTGCATTAGTGCTTTAGGGTTGCTCAGTGTGGAAGGTAGTGGCAAAGCAATGGGAATATTATATTCCAGCCTGACTAAATGTCTGGTGATGAATTTGATAAATTTGAATTTATCTAGTAGATTAAAAAACTCTTTCTGAGGGAAATTTCCCCTTATTGACTAGCCAGTGATTATCTCATTTCCACTTTTTAGGGCATCCTTGAGTTTTATCCTTGGAAGCTGAACCTGAATGCCCAGTAATCTAGTAGGGTTCTTTGGTTAAAGGTTTAGGGAACACAGGGAATAAAATGCAGAAATACCACAGGTTGATATGCTGCTATTTCTGCTGGTGACTTCAACATAATATTAGTATTCCTACTGACATTTGAGACTGGGCTCTAATAAAAGAACACAAAAGTCATAAATTGGAAGCAGTCCTTTCCCCTGAGTTCTGGGTCTGTGTAAATTCACATGGGCACTTGCATTTGCCCATATTGCAAGAATGGGCGTGTGCGTTTCCAGGTGTGAGACAGTTTCTGTGAATCTGTGTCTTGTTCACATCTACATACACTAGTTTCAGGTTATTTTACAGGGGCCTGGCTTTCACCGGTGACTATTTCTGAGGTTATTTTCTGAAACAATGAATTCATTCCTTCTTGGCAGGTTAGGCACTCAAAAGTAAAAATACCCTGATATCTGGCTACGTATGAAAATTTCAGCCATGTTGTAAGCACAAATACTTCCTTGATGCTCTTTCCCCATGTCTGAAATTCTGTGCTGTTCAGCCTTATTTGTCCAGTTCATTTTCTCTGGAAAGATCCTGGCTAAGTTAGTCTCCATGACTTGCTCCATTTACAGCCCCCAGCTGCTAAGGAGTTGGGGGACTGGCAATGGCCTAACAAGGGGACAGTTTTCATAATGTAATACTGCACACCAGTCTGAAACTCAGGAATTCACTGGACTGACTGCCGTTCATGTTGTCTTGTGCATCATAGGATCTGCAGATAAAAAAAGATGAGAGGTTACTGTTCTTGCTGCCTTTGCTTCTTTTTGTCTGCCTCAGATTGCCCCAGCCCATCTTCCTGTTGGCGACTGGCTACAGTGATGCTTGGGGTCTTCTGCCTAAGTTCAATGGCAGCTGCAGGAGTCTTGGCTGCCAAGTGTAAGTATGGTCACAGAAGGAATGTTCAGAGTTCAGTATGAGCAACTAAAAGCCTAGGAAATTGGTTAAGGAAGAGGATTAGCCTAGGAAATTAATGATGCAAAAAACCTGGCCCTTGCTGGAAGAGTTTACCCACTCAAGAGACCTCCCAGTCTTTGAAATTGGGATGTATTATGTCATGCTTATGGGTGTGCACAAACTGTAAGTAGGTCAGGTATATTCAGCTATGGGGAGGTATGTGTGTCTTTGGTAAGTTTATTCAGGTTGCATTGGGCAGTTTAGCTTTAATATTAATGGAACAATTTCTTTCTTGTTTTGCTGCGATTCAAGTCATCCTGGTCTCCCACCTTATGCATGAAAGGCATGAAAACTTCACCCTGCAAAAGGCAATTGTGGAAAGCCTCAACCAGCAGCTAGAGCTCCTCCAGGCTCAGAATTTGAACTTGACAGAGACTGTAAAGCAACTTGCCACCCGCAGAGGTACACAGTGGTGGAAAGATGATCTTTGTATTGCTTATGGTAGACGCAGATTGATTTCTTTTTCTTTTTCTGTCAACCATACTGGAAGGACAAATCTCTAACATAACCCTGAATGGTTTAATTTAAAAAAAAACTTCAAGCTGCATTTCTATTTTGATAATTGTTTTAAGCATCAGTCTTTCTGAAGTATGTTTATCAAATTTTTATAATGGAGATGGTTTATACCTCAAACCAACTATTTTAATTCAGAAAATACTACAATTATGACACTTTAAAAACAACAACAAAACCCAAGTATTTCTAATAGGAATTAATTAATTGATGATTCATTGATGCTACTGCTGCTTCTTTCACAGTTGGTTTCAGGAAATTATAGTAAAAATATTTTGATGGAAAATTCCTACTGGCTTTAATTGTTTGGAAAGCTTTGAAGACAGCTTCATTGTGTTATGCAGTAGTGGGTGCAGCAGTGTAAGTACTGCTGCTCTCTACCAAATGTGATTGTAATCACTGGCTTTAACAGTTTACAGACTTTATGCAGAAGGTAATTTTTTTTTCTTTTTTCTTGTGCAAAATAATGATGTGAAACTTTAATGATGTATAAGCTGAATATCATGGATTATCATATTGCAGAGGGTAAAGGATCATAATAAATTAGCATCTTGTGAGAGAGTGGCAAGGTTATCATCTGTGTAGATGTCTGCATTTCAATTTAACACAAACCATAAGGTACTTGTAAAAGTCAGGTGCACTGTGCTGTTACCTATTGCCATCCAGCATCAAGTCCTGAAATTCCCAGCTGGCACTGGTTTGTTACAGTATAAAATGGTCCTGTGAACTGGAGAGCCATGAACATGATTCATCCTATGGTTGGGACCCAGTTCCCAGAGGTCTTCAGAATACTTTAGCTGACAGGCTTTCTTGCTGCTTGCAATTATTTTGGTTTCCAGCTAGAAATGGAGTTCCCCAAATGGTGCAGGAGTGAAAGAAAAATCCAACATTTTGAGTTCCTCCTGGCTTCAATACTACTCAGGGTTTCAACAGGCAGCTAACAGAATAATGTGGCAGAATAGAGTGCAGCTGTCTGAAAGGCATTTTCTTTAACAACAGTGGGCTCATCTTTCACTTTGGCTGGCTATCCCTATCCAAGATCTGCACACTGAATCCACAGCAAGCATGAAATGCTATAAGAAAAGTTAAAGAATAAATTGAATTGTAAAGCACTTAGCTGTTAAGGTCCTTCCCAACCCTAACCATTCTATGATTCTCTGATTCTATGTTAACAAGGTTAAAAGTATGTTCACATGAACAGAGATGCACCCGTGTGACTGAAAGTCTAGGGATTTTTTTACATCCACCAAGATCCATGTCCGTGCACATGGCACAACCTTCCAGAATTTCCTCTATTTGTATTTTATCAGCACCTCCAGGATTCCTGGTCAGATTCAAAAACTCTTTATTATTTGTTTTTTTCTGATTTTCATTTAGAAATGTTTTTCTGGTCTTCTGGCAACTGGATTTATTAAGTCTCCAATGAAGATGTGAATTTATCTGCAGAATAAAGGAGGAATTGTTGCTCCTCTGTGATAGAGAGGCTCTGCACTGCTCTAGTGATCCTGCAGGGATCCACTAGACCACTAGAGATTGCTGTCACTGACAAACCTGATCAGGTACTCCGCTGTTTTTAAGGACATAAATGTATTCCTTGCCCTGAGAACTGGCTACAGTACGGGGAGAACTGCTACTTCTTTTCAGAGCAATGGAAAACCTGTCAAGAAAGCAAGGCAAAATGCTCGGCTCTGGAGTCCAGACTTCTTAAGATAGAGAGTAAGGAAAAGCTGGTAAAGATAGATATATTTTTCTCTCTACAGTCTTCATTTTACTGTGGCCTAGGCAGCCATTCCATCCTTCCACTGGTGCAGTATGCTATGGTATGTGTGTGCTGGACCAGGGACAAAAACTGAGCATGCCCCTTTGGATTCCTCCTGCCTGTACTGTGGCTGCACCCTCCCTGGTGCCTTTCTACTGGCTTCACAGGAGACCCAACTTGGGTCTATGTCTAGATCCCGTCCCACCTCAGGGCAAATATAACTGAGCTAGTAGTACTGGTTGGCAACTCTTCTGTTTTCTTACTAGGGCAAGCTATTTAGCAAATGTCAGAAGCCTGTCCACAACTAGAAACCTCACCAGCTTGGCCAGCTCCCTGGCATCTGCTCCCATATGAGCAGAAGAGGATCTGTATCTTTTTCTGACTGTTACATTGTAGGTGAAGTAACAGAAAAAGCACAACCAGAAGAGCTCTTGAGTGCAAAGGAAGTTCTACCCAGACCCTTGATGGCAATGGGTCTCTTCATTTGGGACTGCAGCAATAGGACAAAGGGTTGTGGGTTCAAAGTTAAACAGGGGAAATTCAGATTAGATATAAGGAAGAAGTTCTTTACTGTGAGGGTGGTGCACTGACACAGGCTGCCCAAAGAAGTGAATGCTCCATCCCTGGCAGTGTTCAAGGCCGGGCTGGACAGAGCTTTGGGCGACATGGTCTAATGTGAGCCATCTGGATTGGAACTAGATGATCTCAAGGTCTTTCTCCAACCCAAACCATTCTATGATTATGTCTTGAACTCTATGGTTTTATTGTCTGTATTTTGAATTTCTTGTGTAAAAGGATAGCAAATGATTCAAAGGCCTTTTCCTGCCTGGCTTATGCAACCAGAGCGTTGGAAGGAAGTTGTTATCCTATACCCATTACCCAGCTTATGTTCTAGCTTTGGTTATCTCATCTGAACTGTGGTTTTAGCTGAGAACTATGAAAGCTTTTAGGAGGTTCATTTTCCCTATGTCCAAAACAGCACTGATGGCCAGAAGTAGAAGGCAGGGCCCAGATTCACTGGGGAAACAGGTGTGAGCAGCTCACTTTCATTTGCCTCTCTGCTTTTCCAAATCATATGCTGTTGTGACTGAAGCAGGGATGTGATCCACAGGCTCTGAATTTCCCCACAGGACTTCATAATGCGATTAGCACTATCTCGCAGTTCTTCCATTTTTTGGATTGGGCTGTCTCGCAACAGAGCCAAGGGGACCTGGCTGTGGGGGGATGGATCAGCTTTCTCCCCTGATTTGTAAGTCCTTACACAGATGGGAGCAGACCATGTCCAGGCATATTTGTTCTGAGTCAGAAGCAGCAACCTTTAACTTCCACTCGGTAATGGCCTGTTGCCCTGCCTGCTTGTCAGCAGACAGGTTCCCCAACATCATTCACTCATCAACCTAGGCAAGCCCCCAGCAGAGAACTTATGGGTCAAATGGGTAGCAGCAGTCAGGAATTATTGTATCAGCCTGTGATTTTTTCATGGGCTGATGAATATCTCTGCTATTTTTTTTTTTTTCACAGGTTTCAGATCCAACGAGCCAGCTCGAGTCCTTCTCTAGACTGTGTGTGGCTTCAAGGTGCAAACATAGACACTGCACGGTGCGGTGAATACAAATTTTACGTCTGTGAGAAGGTGGTGGATCCTGTGATGGTTGAGCAAGTGAGCTACTCAGACAGGCACTAGGGTGCAGAGCTTTGTAGAGAGCCCAGTCCTGGGATATACTCACAACAGTGGGGGTGAGTTCTGGCCCAGAATTTGCAAGAGTCAAAACATTATCCTGAGTCTTAGCTCAGTCAGAGTCCTTGGGCTTTAATTAAAAATAACTTAATTTCCTCTTTTTTCTTTCAGCCTTCACATTCCTATGCAAACACTTCTCATAAATTCCTTTGTAAATGAAACAAAATTAAGTATGTGATTCTGGAACTCTATTGTAAAGATTCATACCTATCTCCCAGAAACAGGAATCAATGACAGCTTATAAGAGCAACACATAATGTTTTCGAAATCTATCCATTGAGTATTCACAGATGTGAGCTCCCAATTTACAATAGATTTCCAAATATTTTATTTAATTTCACTCTCCACCTGCTGATAACTGAAAGTTCAATCAAATCAGAGCCTCCCTTAAAAGACAAAAATATTTCTAGTCCTCCTGGTTAAAGAAAAAAAAAAAATGAAATGGGATTGCATCCCTTATGGGCTCAAAAAACCAGAAAGCAAATACACAACACATCTTCACTGAGGAAAGTCAGCAATTTTTAATACCTAGGAATTCCAGTCCAACTACTACTGTATTATTGCAGCTGCATTCCTCTAAGACATCTGCCTTGAAAATAATCCATGTCACACATGATGCAGTTCTTTGATTTCTCAAATCCATTTTCCATTCTGCTGCAGATTTTCTCAACTGGAATAAATATTGCTGCTATTGACCTTTTCTGTAGTGTATCTTTTTAGTAAGTCACTGCAAAAAGCGACTCAACAACTGTCAAATAAAGGGCCTTTAATGATTCAAGGCCTCCTGACACTTCACTGCTGTTTAAGGGGCTGTTCAAAGAGAAGACTGCTTCAGAGAGAGCATCTCTCTTCCATGTCACTAGAGAACAAGAGAGGTCTTTGAAATCTCTCAGAAGCAGTCAAGTTTATGGTTAGAACTTCTGTTCCTGTGTGTATTTTGTACTAATTTGAGACATTCAATGGAAATTGAACTGTTGGAAAGTGAAGATATTTAGGCAAGTCTCTATGTTTATTTCAGACATAAAGCCGTGCACTGGAAGTGTGCAGTAGTAACAACAAACAAGTGTGCTGCCTCCCATACTAAATGAGTGCTTAGCAATCATAGACTCCTAGAAAGGTTTGGAAAGGACCTTAATGTCATCTAGTTCCACCCCTCTGCCATGGGCAGGGACACCTCCCACTAGACCAAGGCTCTGTCCAGCCTGGCCTTGAACACTGCAAAAGATGGGGCATTTACCTCTTCTTTGGGCATTACCTTAATTATGTATATGACAAAGTAATTTAGAGAAGTAGGGACAGCAGAGTGTCTTGATACACAGGTATCTCTTAGTCTGGAAATGCTGCATTTTGTAAGTCTAAACACATGGCTTAAGCAGCCATGGAAATACTACCTGGGATCCCAGCACTGACTGGTCTACAGTGGATGCAGGTAAAACGTGAATAGTGGGAGGGGTAACACATACAGGGCTAACCTTTACATTCTGCACAGCTACCGATGAAGTCTGGTCCTCCGAAATTACCACAACTTCAATGTCAATTTGTCTTGAAAGCAAAGTCATCTCTGCTGTCATTTGGCTGCAGAAAGCACTTAAAACTGACAAAGTTCAAAAGGCAGCATACAATTGTTTAATTGAATGAACTGACTCATTTCGAGTTATACAATGCTCATAGGCAACTCTTTGGATTTGTTGCACACTGAAAAAGACAAAGAGTAAAAGTTTTTTTTTTGATAGCTACTGCTAGATTAGTAATTTGTTCTCTGTTGTTGCTCTAAGGTCTTAGCTAAGGCAGTTTGTATTCTTGAGGTTATGTTTTTCACTGTGATAAAAAAATTGAGGAGTATATAATTAGCCTTTTGAATTCAATGCAAAGTCTGTTAAAATCAGAATATAAGCCTTGAACCTATGGCATGTTGTTACAAAACAAGTGATCATCTCACAAGCTCCTCTCAGTGTTTCTTGGCAAATAATTTCTTTACTGTTCCCAACATGATTATTTGTCTCAGTAGCTCCATCAAACACATAGTGCCTATGTGTTTTAAAGACAAATAGATCTACTCACTTAGTTTTCTGCTATTGCTTTCATTTGCTTCCTATTGATGTATAGCTGCAGAAGTAGCTCATTTCTTGACAAAGCTCAGAGATGCAACCTTGAACAGGCTGTCACATCTTTGCTTTTTAATGAGTTTTCTTCTCTGCATTGTCTTGCTCTTTACCCTGGTGGCAGACAGTCAATAAATCACCTGCATCATAAAACCTTAAATCCAAGTGAGGAAAAATGTTCTTGCAGCAGGATCCAGATACTCATAATTAACAAAGAAAATGTATGCATCTCTTATTTCATGTGGAAAAAGAAGGTGCTGTCTTTAACAGTAGGCCTTACAAAATATACTGACATTTTCAAGTTGCATAGCTACATGATAGATAGATAAAAAATACTGCTAAATCGCCACTGCTAAATAAGACTGCTGAGAGAACAAGGAAGCAAGGAGAGAAGCACAATGATTTATTGAATATACAACAGTAAATACAGCTGTATATTTGGTGTTTTGAGTGAAATATTTAAGTTTTCTGAGGTTTTCAGTTTTGTTTAAAGTATGTGTTAATGTCATGGACCTAAAATCAAAGTAAAAGGCATGGAAGATGGTCAAGAGAGATTTTTTCTGTGCACTTGGAATGCTTCACAGTCAGGATTTTGGGAAACTTCATTTAAACGTATGCATTCAAACTTGTTTAGCCTAATCTTTTGCCCGGTCTCTAATCTTTGATTCTCTTTCTACCACCATCTCATCTCAAACCTTCTTGGTTAAAAGAACTAGTTTTAATGCTAAAAGAAGTAAAAAGGAAAGCATTACTCATCTTCCAGTTCTCTGGTTAGAATCATGTGGGGATTTTTTTTTTTATTTTGATTTTGCTAAATTTTCTCATCCTGTAAATTCAGTGTAAAGAACTTTGTGGTTTTACACTAGAAAGCTAAAAGGTAGAGCTTGTCTAAATGCTTCCAGAGAAACCTATTTCTGTTTCAGAAATTTGGAGTCAGTGATTTGCACACATACGACTTCTATCCTGAAAACTTACCTACCGTCCCTGCTTGTCACTGTTCTGGAGGCCCATCAGGAAACTGAACAGGAGGAAGGGCTCATTTCTGTAGAAGGGTTGCCCTTTTGTTTTGATTTGAAAGAAAAACAGTCATTTGTAAAATATTTTTTTTGGCAGAGAAAGACCTCGTAAGTCTGATTAAGCCATCAGCAGGAAACCCAGCATCTTCTCACTATTCAGTGTTTCCTGTATTTTATTCTTTCTCAATCTTTAGATTTATTGGGCTTCTTTTAGAAGAACATAGCTAGTAACAGCAGCACCTGAAACAAACAGATTCAAGTGACATATGGAATTGGAGCACTCAGTTGGAACACAAATGCACAAGATGCCTTTGTGGGTAAAGCATTTCCTGGAGATGGACAGTCAAATGACCATGCTGAAGTCATATTTGCTGCTATTTTTAGTGTTGGATTAAGCTGAAGGCTTGCCATAGCACAAATTGTGGTGCATGTATTTGATAAGAATTGTGTAGCTGGAAAGCAGTATTTTGTAGGGGAAAGCAAATAAATAATTAATATCAACTTGACCATGTTATGACTGCAAAAATCTTATGCACTTAAAAAACTTGCATCTTCAAGCATAAGGTTACAACTCAAAGGAAGGGAGCAGTTTATTCTGCTGTATAAGTAAGACCGTGTCACAAATATTACATATTCATAGACCAGGAAGTGTCATTGCTGAATGTGGTGGTTCCAGTGTGTACCTATGCCAAATGCATATAGAAACATGCATCAAATTTGTAGTGGATGTAATGTATTAAGTGTGACAAAGTACGCCAAAATACCTTTTCTAATTTGTCCACCCAACTCAGTTTTCCAACATGAAGTAAAGATCTAAAAGTCACTTTCAAACTTGGAACAATACTAAGGAGATTTTTGTAATTAGTGTTCCTACTAAAAAATAGCAAGCACTATAAACTAAATTGAGCACCTCATTTCAACATAGCCACATCAGTATCACACAGAGATTTTATTCACTAGGATCTAAAATTTGAGCTCCTAGAAAAAACATAGACTCACCAGATGATTGAGGTTGGAAGGGACTTCAGATCAGAGGGCTGGAGCACCTCTCCTATGTGGAAATGCTGAGAGAGCTGGGCTTGTTCAGCCTGGAGAACAGAAGGCTCTGGGGAGACCTTATTGTGGCCTTTCAACATATAAAGGGAACTTAAACAAAAGACAGAGACTTTTTACCTGTAGTGACAGGCCATGAAGCAACAATTTTAAAGAGGGTAGATTTGCATTGATATAAGGAATAAATACTTTACAATGAGGGTGATGAGACACTGGCACAAGTTGCCCAGAGGAGCTGTGGGTGCCCCATCCTTGCCAGTGTTCAAGGCCAGGCTGGATGGGGCTTTGAGCAACCTGGTCTAGTGGAAGGTTTCTCTGCATATGGCAGCGGGGATAGGACTAGATGGTCTTTAAGGTCTCTTCCAACTCAAATATTCTGTGATTCTATCACCTCTGGAGGTCATCTGCTCCAACCCTCCTGCTCAAGCAGAGCTACCTAGAACCGGTTGTCCAGGACTATGTCCAGACAGCTTTTGAATGTCTCCACGGACGAGGACTGCACAACCTCTTTGGGCAAACAGTGCCAGTGTTTGGTGCCACTCACAATAAGAAAGTGTTTCCTGATGTTCAGAGGGACCCTCCTGTGTTACAGTCTGTGCCCATTGCCTCTGGTCCTGTCATGGGGCACCACTGGAAAGAGCCTCACTCTGCTTTGTACCCTCCCTTCAAGTGTTTATACGTGTTAATAAATTTTCCTCCAAACCTTTTCTTCTCCAGGCTAAACCATCACAGCCCTCTCAGCCTTCCCTCACAGGGGGGCTGCTTCAGTCCCTTTGTCATCTTCATGGTCCTTCACTGGACTCTCTCCAGTAGGTCCGTGTCTTTCTTGTACTGGTGAGCCTAGCACTGGACCCAGGTGTTATCTCACCAGTGCTAAGCAGAGGGGAAGGATAGCCTCTCTAAACCTGCTGGCAGCATTTCGAATACAGCCCAGGATGCCATAAGCCTTCTTCTCCACAAGGGCATGCTCTTGGCTCATGGTAAATTTGGTGTCCAGCAGATCCATAATTCTTTTCTGCAAGGCTGCTTTCCAGCTGGTCAGTCCCCAGCATATACTGGTGCATGAGGTTGTTCCTTTCCGGTTACAGGACTTTGCACTTCTCCTTACTGAACTTAATGATGGTCTCATTCAGCAGAGGGCCTACATTTTCCCTACATTTTTCCCTTTCTTTGTCACCTGTGTGCTTGTAGAAGCCATCCTTTTGGCCTTTGATGCCCCCCTCACCAGATTCAATTCCTTTCAGGCTTTGGCTTTCCTAACCTTATCCCTGCATGCTCAGACAGTGTTTCTGTGTTCCTTCCAGGCTACCTGTCCCTGCTTCCACTCTCTGTATGCTTCCTATTTGTGTTTTAGTTTTGCCAGGATAAACTTGTTCATCCATGTAGGTCTCCTTGAATTCCTGCCTGACTACCTACTTGTTGGATAGGCTCCTGAGTTTGGAAGAGGTAATCCTTGAATATTAACCAACTTTCTTGGGGTTCTGTTCCCTCTAGAACCTTATCCCATGGGACTCTTTTCAGTCAGAAAACTCATCTTTGCAGAGGCCAGACTCTGCTTTCCTGAAGTCCAGGACTGTGAGCTTGCTTTTTACCCGCCTCCCTCTCCTCAGCATCCTGAAGAAGATACACCAGACACAGTTACTTATGTTTAGAAAATCATCCATTCTGAAAGACAATTAATATGCAACACCAAAAATATGTGGTTGCCATTACATCGGTGTCTTGGTTTCAGGATACCTGATAACACATCAATGGTTTAAGTTGTAAGCATTACTTAGCAACAACTAAAACTATTAGGGTGTTATCAGCATTGTTCTCAGGCTAAAGTCGAAAACACAACACTGTATCCATTACTAAGAAGGAGAAAAATGACTGCTAATGCTGAACCCAGGAAAATTGGAAAATTCCATTCCCAGTTCAGCAATTAATATTTTTCTGAATACCATCACAGCATTCCAGCTATCAATGCTGCCATTCATGTCACATGCATTGAGTGTGTAGCCATTATGGCACATATCCATCCTTCCATACACTGAGATACATTAGGTAAAGAGATAACATATTCTATGTTAGCTAAAGACTAATAGCCATCAGATGGCATTCTTGCAAGAATCCTTCTCCCTGCATGAGTGAAATGGCGATTATGGTAATAACATAATGTTACTCATGTAACACTGACTTACAGGCATTCTTAGAAGATCATAGTATTGCATGTAAAACAAACCCAACATTGTCTGGAAGTAAAATTTGAACATATCTAAAATTCATATATTATACCCAGTCACGAAGAGGACAAGGGTGCCAAGTAATGCTTCACTGCTGAGTAGTGAACAAGGGAGACACACGTTTTTGAGTAGTAAAAGAGAGAAGACTGCCTTAGAGTTTTAAAATAATACAGAATAGCTGAAAAAAAGTGAATGTGCTGAAGAGAGGGCTGGAAATAGTTAAGAACTATGAGAGGTCAGCATAGATGGATATACATGAAATTCCAAACAGAGTGACAAGAAGTGGTCCCAAAGGCCTTTACACTTCTGATTTCTTTGGCTGTAAGTAAGGCTCAAGATTGTCAGCATTGCTTAAGTAGAGGTTTCTGAACTAGAACACTAAGACTAATATCTTGTCTCTGATTCATAGATATTTGTTAATACTGGTTCTTTTTATCTGCAAAGGTTTTCTGTATCATTTCCATTTTTTTTGTGTGAATACACTAGGAAGAAAGGATGGACTCTGCTCTGAATTTGTATTAAACATTATTTTACACCCCTTCTTTGAAAATCTGAACATCAAAGTCTTCATCCTCTTCCAGTTCTTTTTCTGTTGATAATCTTTTTAGATCAGATGGACTGCTGCCTTCTCACAAATCCAGGGATGTTTCTCATAACAATTCTCACTGTAAACTGTTGACCTATGATAAAATAGGCATGCACAGTTTTGCTTAAAGGACAAATCAATCCTAGAAAACAAACAAACAAACAAAACAACAGACCATCTTGTTAAAAATTCCCATGTACACATGTTTAAAAAAAACATAAAGCCCTTTTGGACAATTATACATTATTGCAAAAATTTCTTAGCCATTTTAAGATTTATAAAAGTTTATATACGATATTGAAGGTCATAATAGCTTGTATAATTCAAGTCTGAAGGATCTCTGGCAGTGTTCAAGGACAGGCGGGACAGAGCCTTGGGTGACATGGTCTAGTGTGAGGCATTCCTGCCCATGGCAGAGGGTTGGAGCTAGATGTTCTTAAGGTCCTTTCCAATACTAACCATTCTAGGATTCTATTATTCTATTATCATTCTTTCACCTGCCTTCAGCTCTAAGATGTAAAAAAGAAAGCCTATGTATGTACCATCGTATCATCAAAACACAAAATAGAACTAGTTCCTCACAGTAGCTGCCTGTCCAACTATTGCTTCATATAGTGATAATTTGGGTCTGGAAACTGAAAGGCAGTGGTCTACCGAAATAGAAGTCAGATCATTCTGCCTGATGTTTACTAGTTTTGGGAAGTGTAAGAGTTTGCAAGAAAAATGAGCATGTATTTCCAAAGAGACACTGGAGAATCTTCACTTGAAAAAGGTTCTCCAGATCCTGAAGAAGACTCTCACGTTATTGCATACAGTGATTATTTCACACAGAGCATAATGGGATTTCCCCCCCACCCCACCCCCCCATGGTTAGTAAAGGAGAAATGCACCAAGTAAGTTAATGATATTTTACAAAACAAAGTAAAAACGGGTTTGCGCCACCTAATGTTGACTTTTTTGTGTGTAATAAGGGTTTCAAAATGGTGGTGGCTGAGCCGAAGAGGCAGGTGTAGGCAGGCTTTGCAGGAGTTAGGCTGTCTTGAAGGAAGTGTGGGTTGCTTCCTATAGAGTCATGAAATATTTCATAAAATGAATGCTTTTAAATTGTGAGATCAGTCAGTGGCTGCAGTGGTTTTGACTCCTTGCCCTGCTCACAATTCTAGTTTTCTAAGACTCATTGTCTGTTTCAGGGGGTATCATGATTTAACCCCAGCCAGCAACCGAGTACCACAGAGTGGCTTGCTTACTCACGCATCCCACAGTGGGATGGGGGAGATGATCTGAAAAGTAAAACTGAGGAAACTTAGGGGTTGAGATGAAGACTGCTAAATAGGTAAAGCAAAAACCATACACATAAGAAAGCAAAACAAATTCCATAACTCCTTCTTCTTCCCTCAGCTTTATATGCTGAGCATGACATCAGCTGGGGTTAATTGTCCCATCTGTGTCCTCTCCCAACTTCTTGTGCACCCCAGCCCATTCACTGGTAGGTGAGGTGAGAAACAGAAAAGGCCTTGACTCTGTGCAAGCACTGCTCAGCAATAACAAAAATATCCCTGTATTATCAACACTGTTTCCAGCACAGATCAAAACCACAGCTTCATACTAGCTACTATGAAGAAAATTGACTCGATTCCAGCCAAAACCAGCACGGGGACTCCAACCAGAATGAGTTATTTTAACTCCAAATACATCTGCAGCTGTACTCTGCCTTGAAGCTTTGCTGTTAGTGGGATTTTCGTTTCTTCCTCCTTCGGTGCACAGGGAGGATATTATGCAAGAAAAGATGAAAAACCACCATCTGTTTAAGTTCAGAAAACTTACCAGTCCATTCTCTTTGTAGAAAGTTTTGATCCATCCACCCAAGACCAGCCATCAACTCCATATGATAATCCAATCCAGTAAGACTGTTTCGGTAATATTTGAGATATAAAAAATGCAAAACCTTTATCGCCAAGAAGCATGAAGGTAGTTTTCTTTGTTGTACCTAAACAACTACTGTTAAGACAGGAAGTGACCAAGAAAGAATCAAAGGAGGTAATTTGACAATGACTTTCTGAACAACTCATCAGGCCCTCATAATTCTTTCCAGGAGAAAATATCTCTATTTGGCATGCATCTCTGTTTGGAATGTTTCGTGTCTGACATCTCTACTAAATGTAAGACCAGGGCAGCAATTCTTTTAAAGCCCTCTCTCTCAGAGTATTCAAAGAGATTTCCTGAATGAAAAATGTATTCCTTATAACCGTCACAGGATCCACGATGCTCATGTTCACTGTTTGGCTGAGTAATATCCTGTGTTGCTAGTTACCTCGTCATTACACATTTGTGGTTAAACATTCTGCAGTCTGCATTGCCTCAGACCTTGCTAACAGTACCTCTATTACTATGTAACATCAAGAGATACTTGCTGACTGGCAAGGAGTTTGGAGTAGTTGATGCCAATGCAGAGAAATGCCAGTGTGATTGGAACCATACCAACTTGCTTTTCATTTGCAGCGTAAGAAGGGTGGCATTCTGGGAGAAGCAAAAGTCTTCACTTTCCTGCCATGTGGCCTTCTTTTCTGAAAAGTAGAAGCAGATGTTGCCTCCAACCCATTTCCAGTTTGCAGGGCAGAGAGTACATGCAGAGTACATGCGGAGAGTGTATCTTTCTAGAACAGAAAGAAACCATCACTTGCTTATAAATAGTCAAAAGCAGAATGGAGAAGTCTACACCCATAGGCCTGAAAAATTAAGTTATGCAGAACTGAAATGTATATGGCACATTATTTTTTTAAACCCATTAGTTAATCTGATACAGCATAAAACGTCCTTGTTTTATCTGATATAAGGCCTAATACCTAGATTTCAGGCTGTGTGAGCAGTAGTTCTATTTACTATTGTTCTTACTGTTGTCATCACCCATCAAGCACAATTTCTCTTTTAGTCCTTGCAAGTTTTCATTATGTCCCGCAGGTGCCTTAGAACCTCTGAGACCTGGAGTTTATAAAGATATTCTTCATGAGACAAAAAAGCTGTGACATTGCTACTGCATGATACATGCTTCATCATATATTGCAAATTCACTTTCTGCAACAGCGTGCTCACATGCAAGTCTGATGCAACAGCGTCTCATATTGTGAAATTAGCAGATCAGAAAATGATGAATAAAAACATTTCCAAATTTTAAGTGCAGTTTAATTACAGTGCCATTGCAGATCACTTGGTCATCTAATAAAGGACTAAAATAATGCAAAAAATACGCTTAGGAAGAATCATCTTGAACTGATGGTGTTGATCTGAGAGGAAGTTTTATAAGATTTTGAAAAAAAATAGAATTCTAAACATTCTTCAGGTTGAAAAAGCCTTTTACTATTAAAGGCTTGTAAAACTTCTGAAGAAAGCGGGGAGCATTTTTTCATATAACTTCCTCAACAGTATTTCACACTGGCTTCCAGTAGCAGCACCTAGAATTACTATCTCCAGGCTCCATGGTAGAAAGCATAGGTACAGTCATGTCACACATTAGAAAAGCTAATATAAATACGAGTGTCTTTTTGTGATGACTGAGTGAAACAGACAGAAAAACTGAGATTTCCTCATGAATCTGAGTGCTAAAAGTGTGCCCATTTTTGATGTACTACTATGAATTAATTTAAGTAGTCCACAAACATGTAAGGTTCATCAAAGGAATGACATAAGAACTGCTCTTGCAGTAGAGTAGGGAGACTCAAACAACAAGAGAAGAGGTGAAGGGGAACTACAGACTGATTTATGACAGTCGACATCAGAATTTTATAACTGAATTTGAATTAGCAAATAAATGAGTAATAGATGAATGAGGACAGAATTCATTCCTCCCACTTCTTCCAAAATATATCATCTTGACTTCTATATCCTTGCTCTGAGCATAGGTCCAGACTTAAAAATATTGCTTCCCTCAGAGCCTTACGTGCACCCCAGCTGCAGAGTGTTCATCATAGGCAACTAGGAGGAGAGGAAAGGACTGTGTATGTGGGGAGAATGAGCTGTGTCTGTCCTTGTAACAGTCAACCACCTTTCTTCTTTCAGTTGAAGGTGTTAACATGATGTCCTGGTGTAGCAGTCAGTTTTCATGAAAAATGGACACACGAATAAAGGAACACAGTATATTTGAGCACTTACCTAAGATTATCATTCCTATGGTGAGGGCCAGGCACAGTACAAACAAAGTAAAGATATCTGGCCACCATACAGCAAAAGGGAGTGCCCTGGGAGAAACCAGCAATTTATCCAAGAGCAGGTACCCATTTCGGCAGCACTCCCAACACTCCACCCCTTCATGAAAAGCCATATGGTGACTCTTGAAAGAGTTCCCCTTCCAGGCTGTATATTTTAAGGATCAACCCAAATGCAAGCTCAGAAGATGTGGTGCCTCTGTTAAAGATACCTCTTTGAAAGAAGACACTAGACATGGTTTAAATGGAAGAGGTAGGGGATTGCTTGTCTTTGACAAATGTTGAAACTGTGAAACACTGTAGTTATCCTTTGCCTTAGAAGTAGGTGATGATGCTGTTCTCCTTTGGTAGTACTCTGTTACTGTGCTTTGTCAGAACAGAGTAAGGATGGTTTGCATACCATCTTTACCATCTACACTTTGCAGAAATCCTTCCTGCTCTGAGGGCACACAGTGCTCACTTTGCATGCCAGTACTAGGCTGAAGCCCAGTTCAGGAAAATTCCGGAGTACAAAATATCCACTGAGGTTTCCCTGGGTCCAAAAGTTCCCGAGAGTTACCATCACCAAACAACCATGGCAATGAGGTGTGATGGACCTTTAGATAAAGAAATATTTAGCTCAAGACCGGATGCTCTCTTGAAGTACGTGGCCTAGTGTGAGGTGTCCCTGCCCAAGCCAAGGAATTGGAACTAGATGATCTTAAGGTCCTTTCCAACCCTAACTGTTCTATAATTCTGTGATTTAGCCCAAGTGGACCTGTGGGACTTGAAGAAGGGAAATGACATAACAGGCCTGATGCTGCCTCATCCCTTCCAGCCTTAAGCATTTTCTGTCACATTAAGGTTCAGAGGTCAAAAAGTAAAGGGTGTTTTTTTTTCTATTAAAGTCAGATTGCCCTGTGTCTACAGCCATTTCCTGTAACAATAAATAAACAATAAATAAAACTAACCACATAAAGCTTATGCCTACATTCTAGAGTTTGATCCTGCAGCCACCTCTCTTTTCCTATAGAAATTCAAGGCAAGTAATGGCAGTAGTTCCACTCTGCACTTTCACATTCATGCATGCTGGGTTTTGTCAGACAAAACCATGCCAAATAACGCATAAAATCTATAACATTAAACACATAAGTATGTTACTTACTGACCTAGACAAAATAAACTGTTCCTACTGTTGTTGTCATAGGGCAGAAAGTTCAAAGAGCAAGCATCAGTTGTACCTTTGTTGATGCTCAGGGGCATGTAACCTCTGGCTGGGTTCTGTGGCAGGTGATATAAATTAGAGTATCCGCCCTCTTCGTCTGTATTCATAGGCACCGTCTGGGAACTCATTCGAGGTTCAGTAATGATCCTCTTAAAAGACAGACTGAATGATTTGTGAAGAAGCAAAAGAAAAAGCAGAAGGAGGGTGGGAATAGGAGGACTCACACTTTACATGTCTTAAGGCAAGATACTAGTATTCAAATGTTGTATATGACTTTTCAATTGTTGCATGTAACTTCTCCTTTCCCTCCCTCAGGGGAAGAACTCTCTTCCCACCCATCATGTCTTAGTCTGGGTCTCCATCCCCACTTCTAAAGACATGCAGGGATGACATGAGTCACAGCATATGTACAGCATGGCAGTTCCCCTCTTTTCCATTTAACCTTCCCATGACTTTCATCTCCTTTGAACTTTTCACATTCAAAACTGAAACAAACACCTTCAATTCATCTCAGAGGTAGACTAACTTCAGCTCTGTGCCTTTTTGATTATTCAGTGTTAAGGGCTATAAAATTAAATCTTTCCATGATTCTGTGATCTATGAGTAAGAAGGGAAAAATCACCATAGTTTTTAGGGGAGAATGCACACAGTAACAATAGTAGACCACCCAAAACTGCTTTATCTGTTCCACATTTTGTGACTTGGAAAGAAAAATTTAGGATGTGAGAAACAGACTGGATGCTGCTTTATTTAGTAACTGAAATTCTCTGCACCACTCAATTGCAATAGGAGCCCATTTTTTTCTTGCAAAGCTTGGTTCACAGTTTGTTGGCCTTTCTGCACAGTGCTGTGTACTCTTCCCTTTTTCCTCTGGAAATTCCCCTACGAGGAGAACATAGGATGCATCGAAGTCATGATGTCAAGAGAGAAGTCTCTGAGAGGTTGGCACCTCTCCTGCTGCCTCAGATGTTTCAGATGAGTGGAGGCTTATTTAATTTAACACAAAACAAATGCAAAAACTGACCAAGTGAAGGCAGGTACGGCATGAAAGACCATGCTCTATGGACAAACTGATAGCAGTTGAAAGATCCTGTTAAGGACAAAAGTTTCTGTGGGAAAGACGAGTCAGGCTTAGGGCGATGTGAATCTGTAGGGTAGTAGTGAGGTTGTGTAGCTGGACACTTGTCATTAGAGATGCATGAGCCAGAGCTGAGAACTGTGTCAAAAGTTCAGGCACCCCCAAGAAAAGATGCATGATTGAACCATGGTGTCTTAAGACTTATGCCCTAAGTGCTGTTGTTTAAAAGGAACCTCTGGAACTCAAATGGTTCAACCACCTATTTAAAGCTGGGGCAGCACTGAACTCTGATGAGCTTGATCAAAGGCTTATCCAAGTCAAGCTCATGCAGTCTCCAAGGACAAAGATCTCCCAAACTCTCTGGTGCCTGAGAGCACTCAACAGATAGGCAGTGGTCAGATAGTTTTTGGTTGAAAAGTAAGAGTGGATTGCCATGTGGGTGGAACGATT